ATGAATAGAGCTGGATTTCCCATTTAATTTCACAGCCTTGCTTTCCCAAAAGTTGTTCTCATCCAGGCTTGACTGCAGCTTCGACCTCACATCGGTCTTGTCAACATACCAAGCGGGAGTAGAACCCTGTTGGACTGTCATGTTGGGGGTGCTGATAAGACCGATGCGAGGTCTAAACTGCAGTCCAGCCTGGATGAGAACAACTTTTGTGAAAGCAAGGCTGTGAAATTCGATGGGAAAGTCAGCTCTATTCATATAATTGTGGAAACAATCAATTACCATTCCTTCATCACCTAAAACGAAATAGGGTGAAAACAACTGATACATATGCAGCTATTCCTGATGGGTTACACGACAAAAATGATTTTAAGTGCAATGCTGGCTTTTTTAACTTCCGCGGAGCATTCGCTTCTTCCAGCTGGCTCAGTTCTTCGCCTACCTCGTAATGGTTATTTGTCGGTTGGAGCTATCGAGAGCGCTAGTTTCGTCAAGTCCAATGGAATATACGCGGATGTCCATGAAAGCAATAACCCCATTAAAATGTGTCATTTGAGAGAAGTTAGTAGTCGATGTTTTACATAACGATATGAGTGGGGCTTTCATTGAATTTCACATAACCCTGCTTCCTAAAAGGTGCTCTTATACAGGCTGGACGGCAGTTTTGACCTCGCCGGCACTGGTCTCATCATCATATCCAGCGGGACTCGAATCCCGCTAGGGCAGCCTATATTCTCGTCTTGTTAACCATTGCGCCACACTTCCACTATTGCCCCATCACGGTTCGAGTCCAGTCAGGGGTGATGATGAGACCAGTTCAGGCTAGGTCAAAACTGAAAGGCCATGTGAAATTCAGTTGATACGTAAAGTCTACTTATATCATTGTAGGAAAATTCAACTGTCCCTCCTTTATCACCGAAATAGGGTGAATACACCTAATATATATTGTATTTTTTGAATTAAGTATTGTTTTCGTGACTACCAGTAAATCAATAATATGAAATGTATTTACCCAATTTCGTTTCAGGTGGTGAAGGACTGGTAGGAGAATAATTTGCCCACATTGATATGAGTT